AAATTAATTTGTCATTATTTTCTTTCTACCATTGAACCTTTGTAATTTAACGTTTTCTGCATTTTTAGTGAAGGGTGGTTTTTTCTTCTTCTCGGGTTTTCTTTGGCTTCTTGTTGATCTCAGCCTTTTTAGATTTTTGGCGAATTATACTTGTTGGCAAATCTACACTTAATGCACCATTTTGACATTTATGGTTTTTTATTATTAATCAGATCACAATTAATGGAAAGTTTGAAGTTTTCCTTTTTATCGATTTCCTAGCTCAGCTCGTGTTTGTGTATATATTTGTAGCCTCAATTCGTCTGTTGATCGATTAGAGAAACACAACACAAGACAATGTTGGAAAGAGATCGCTCGAGTGTTGTTGGATCGAAAAGACATGGCTCCAGTTTGTTTTTGAAAAGACATCGCTCCAACAGTCTGGAACAGCTACCACACGATGTTGTAGAGCTCATTCTCCAGAGGCTTCCTGTGAAATTTCTGCTGAGGTTCAAATCTGTATGCAACAAGTGGAAATCCACTATTGAGTCTCGGTGTTTTAAGGAACGACAGTTTATCCGTCGTAGGCAATCCCGAGGTTTAGATGTCCTTTTCGTGTACCCTGAATCTGACTCTGCGGCTCCATGTATGAGAATTGTGTTTGGGTCGTCAATAATTTGTACGGTCAGGTTCCCTACTTCGGGCAGCATGATCTGCCATGGTAGTTGTGACGGCCTGATATGTGTCTACTGTGTCTACACACCGAGTATCCTGATCAATCCCGCCACTACATGGCGTCAAAGTTTTCCTCTTTCCAGCATTCAACAGCTCATCGTTGAGAGGTATAACAAAGGAGAGTTTGACCTCTCAAGTCCTAAGCTTGGATTCGGTAAAGACAAATTCAGTGGCACGTATAAGCCTGTTTGGTTATATAATTCATCTGACTTTGGCCTAGACAACGTTACTACTTGTGAAGTTTTTGATTTTAGCACCAATGCTTGGCGGTACGTTTTCCCTGCTTGCTCCTATCGGATTCTTGCTTACCAGAAACCCGTGTATCTAGATGGATCGCTTTACTGGTTCAGCGAGTGCGAAGAAACCAAGGTTTTATCTTTCGATCTTCACACCGAAACTTTTCAAGTCCTCTGTAAAGCTCCCTTTGCCCATGTATGTGACCCTTACAGCGTCACCATGTGCGTCCTTGATGACCGCTTGTGCGTATCCGAGAAAAACTGGCCAACCCAAGTGATATGGTCGTTCGATTCTTCTGGCTGCGGCAACCAGACATGGAAGAAGATGTGTTCAATAGATCTCACCAAAACTGTTTCTTGGTTCGGCGAATCGGGATCCGCACTCTTACCAATTGCAATTCTGGAGAAGAATAAGTTATTGCTTCATGGTCGTCAACACCAACCACTCGTGATACATGATCTCCATACCAAATCTTATGATTCACTTTTCACACCTACCACAGCGGGGAATTGTGTTTATTATTACCAAAGCTTATTCTCTGCTCTATCAAAGTAATTTGTCTTCTTTTCTCTGTGCCAATGAACCTTTGTAATTTAACATTTTCTTAGTTTTTTATTGAACGAGATTTTTTTGGCTTCCTGATGAATTCAGCCTTGGTAGATTTTTAGCAATTATATTTGTTGTTGGTGCTTGAGTAAGATACCAATAATATGCAGACAGTAAGAGTTCTATTTGGAACAAGATAATTCAAGCCCGTGACAGCAAGGCAGCTATAGACAGACCAAACATAAGTAGTGTCCATGATCACGACTGCAAATGATCTCCGGAGACCAAAACCACGAGTATTGGCATTGCAGAACCAAGATAGTGGTGTCTCAGTATCAGTCTATCAGAGGCTGTATATGATTTAAAACTAACAGCAATACATGGTCGATAAAGTCTCCCCCAACACTTAGTATGAATAATTTTAGTATTTGACATTTTGAATATATTAATTTGTCATAAATGCTTGTTTTAGACTTATAGTTAGTCTTTTTGGTCCACCATATAAATTATAGCAATGAATATTTATTTTTGAATCTTGACTCGGTACAAATCCAATGTCTTGATAATTCTTAAATGACAAAAAAAATGTATGAATTTTATTAAATTCTTAAATGACAAAAAAATGAGAGAGGCGAGAAGTATTAAGTTAAATTCCCACCTAATTATGTCTGTAGCGTGGAACGGTGACATATAAACTATTCAAGAATGCAAAGCCACAAACTTGTTCAAAGATTGCTTTGGAGTAACTATTAAAGCCTAATGAGAATGGCTATAAAAGTAAGAGTTGAAGTCCACTTAAACAAACTAAAGCCTGGGCTGGGCTTTTGTAAATTTTATTTCTTTCTTTTAAATAGCAAAACCAATTTAAAAAGAAAGAAAGTTAAAGCCCACTTGTCGAGTTATGTTGTGACATTTCACTTCAGTTATCAACTTATATAGATTCTAAATAGATATATATCTATCTATACATATTTTTTATTTTGTCTATTTTGGATTTACATAAGATGAGAAATGTGATTTCAAGAGAAAAATCAAATTCCGCCAAAAATAAGTGAAAGTTTATATAAATTAGACATCGTTTTGTACGAAAATCGACTGTCATAATATGTTATAAAAATTATCATCCATATAATCGAATCGGAACAAAACATGGTAAGAAGCTCTCAAGACTGGTTCTTTAGCTCCCATGATATGACCAGTTGTTTTACACCAACCATCAAGTGATAAAACATCAATGCACGTCACGTCAAATCCCTTGACAATGATTATTACTTCTCACCTTTCGACAGGTTACATAGATCAAAGAGATTACGTGCAGCTGACAAAATAGGTGATGTATCTTTAAATGTTTTGCAAAGTGATTGATGACTTACACATTTACCAAGAGTGATAATAATAAAAAGTTGATGATGATATTCAAAAATAAAATAAAAAGTTGTTGATGACACAAATGATACCTCTAACGAAACCTACAACATGTGAATATCCTAAATTAATCTAGGGATTTTTGTCTAAAATGCCATTTAAAAAAAAAATCTTACGAAAATGTCATTTTTTGAATAGTTTACGGATTTTGCCATTTTCAACACTTAAAATTGTATGTATTTACGATTTTTTTAGCAAAAATACGTACTTTATACCAAATACTAAACTCTAAGAACAAATAAAACTGACTAAACTCAAATATAACGAGTAAAACACATGTTAAATCATTTTTTAAAAGTCTAAAAAATGGCAAAATCCACAAACTATTCAAAAAAAATGGCAAAATCTATAAATATCACTATAAAAAATGGTAAAATTTGTAATTGATTCATTAATCTATTACTTTTGCTTGTGAAGATCTAAATAGTGATGATGAAATAAGAGCTAAAGCTTCAGGAAATAATTGGTCATCCGAGGAAATAGTCACAATGACCGAAGACTCAACAATTATCGCTTCCTGAAAGAATTACACAATACTCAAAAGAAGTTAATAACATGGAAAAGACCTGATACAAGCTGAGAAGTGAAATTGCCGAGAAATAAACTGCAGTTTCAGACTAAACTCATCTTCCGAGACCAATACAACCAGTATTTGCATTGCATAACTAAGACAGTGGCTGTCTTTTGTATCAAAGTTTGTGAATCTTTAACACAAACTATGATATTACATGGGCGATAAAGTCTCCATGCATCAGCTTGCTGCAAACTCAAATGTTTAAAGTTTAAACCTACCACAATGGAAGTGTGATCACTTATTCTAACTATACCCATTACTTGGTTTGGTCGTTAACAAATTTGATGTGAATTAAGCTCATTCATTATGCGTTAAAACCTCTTTGGTTTGGTTCGTTTTTCTTTTGGGTTTAAGTTTTGGAAATAGGGTCCGAATATATGAAATTTAATTTTGATTCACTTTGAAAAATTGTGGTTCGGTTAGTAGTGGTTTAACAAAAAAGATTAAATTATTTATTTTAATTAGTTGTGATTGTGACAGATTGTCCACCAAAACAAAACAAAAAAAAACCTTATAATAGTTCATACAAATATTTTAAGTATATTTAATATTTGGATTATGTTGGATTCGGTTCTCTACTGATCAGGTGACCAGGTTCATTGAAATTTGGTTCAGGTACGGGTTTAATAAATGGTTTAGGTTCGGTTTATTATGCAACCTTCCCCATTCGTGTGCCTTAATTCTTCGGAGCAAAAAGTTCCCATCAAAGTAGCAGATCATAGCTAATTAATGGAACTCCAGATCTCAAATCAGTTTCTTGTTGTGTTCTTTACCTTTATTCGTTATCGCAATGGCTTTGGAAGGTTTTGATTTTTCCTGAACAAGGAACGCGCTGAACGTGTTTGTTGAAATGCCTGAACGACAAGTCTTTGTCCGATATATGTCCTCGTTTTGGTTCTGCAACTTACCAAATAAACACTAGTCATTCAAGAAACCAGGTACACACTAAAAGTCTCTTGATTGGCTATTAAACAGTAAACACAACAAATTGAAAATCTTGTTCAATCTTCTAATCAGTCAAACATTCTCTGCATTGTTGTAGTCATATGATTGGTCGACGTGTAGTTAACTGGTTACGTTGTTTATCATTGAATTTAAACTGATTATATGATCATGACTAGCTACGGCCAGACATTCAACGGCAAATAAACTAAATAATTTCGTAGTAATTAGGTGAATTGCAACCATTTTCAGTTGACCTTGTTCAGGAATTGTGAATATTTGTTTCTTTCGGTTGAGATATTCAAAGTATTGTACTTTATTCCGTGTAATGACAATAAGATCTTTTGATTTTTGATGCATTCATACCAAGGATTATAAAATTTGCAAAAGTCAAGTGATGTGATATGTTTGGTTTAATATTATAAGCGTGTGTGTCTTCTTTAGTCAATTTAGGATGTTTGAATGTAAAAAGATGCCAATAAGATTGCTTGGTCAAGATAACTTGTTTGAATATCAGAACATCTTTAGGTTTCATATTCGTTTGAAGAAACTTTATTTTATTCATTACATTGAATCTCTCAACGAAGATCTCTTGCAGACACATAGAAAGGAAAGATGAGTGTTTTTTACTTTCCTTGCTTGATTTTGTTAACCTTGTTTTCAAGTTATGGCTATGCAGCTATAACCACATCGAGTCCTTTGTCGATAAGACAAACTCTGAGCTCTCCTAATGAATCCTTTGAGCTAGGTTTCTTCAGTCCCAACAGCTCTCAAAATCATCACTACGTTGGAATCTGGTTCAAGAGAGTCACTCCTCGAGTGTATGTTTGGGTAGCTAATAGAGAAAACCCGGTAACGAGCCTCACGGCGAATCTCACCATCAGCAGCAATGGGAGCCTTATCTTGCTTGATGAGAAACAAGACATTGTGTGGTCATTCGGAAGAGAAGTTCTTACATCTAACGAATGTCGTGCTGAGCTTTTAAACTCCGGAAATCTTGTCCTCATAGATAATGTTACTGGGAATTATCTATGGGAAAGTTTCGAGCATCCTGGTGATACTATGCTTCCTCTCTCATCGCTTATGTACAGTACTCTTAACAACACAAGGCGTGTGTTGACTTCTTGGAAGACTAACACAGATCCATCTCCTGGTGAATTTGTAGCAGAGCTTACGCCACAAGTACCCCCTCAAGGACTTGTATGGAAAGGGTCATCACCTTATTGGAGAAGCGGGCCATGGGTGGACACAAGGTTCAGTGGGATACCAGAAATGGATAAAACATATGTAAATCCATTAACTATGGTCCAAGATGTGGTGAATGGCACAGGAATTTTGACTTTTTGTGCATTAAGAAATTTTGATGTGTCTTACATCAAGCTAACGTCTGATGGATCATTGGATATTCACCGTAGTAATGGTGGCACCACCGGGTGGATTAAGCATTTTGAAGGTCCTTTAAGCTCATGTGATCTCTACGGTACATGTGGACCTTATGGTTTGTGTATGAGGTCCATTAGTACTCCAACCTGCAAATGCTTGAGAGGGTTTGTGCCAAAGTCAGATGATGAGTGGAATAATGGAAACTGGACTCGTGGGTGTGTGAGACGAACAGAATTATCATCATGTCAGGGAAATTCTTCGTCAACAACACAAGGCAAAGACACAACAGACGGATTTTACCGTGTTGCCAATATTAAGCCTCCGGATTCTTACGAATTAGCAAGCTTTGGTGATGCAGAACAATGCCATCAAGGATGTCTCCGCAATTGTTCTTGCTTGGCCTTTGCCTATATTAATAAAATTGGATGCTTGGTGTGGAACCAGGAGCTATTGGACATGGTTCAGTTTACTGAAGAAGGAGTGTTTCTTTCCATCCGTCTTGCACGTCCTGAGTTAGGTAAGACTTTACTTTTTACATTTTTGTTTACGGTTTGTTCAATAACAATATGACTTACAGTTAAGTTTCTTGGTGGTTCTCCCAGCTAGAGGCAAGCGAATCAAGATCATCGCTGTTAGCGCTATCAGCCTTTGTGTGTTTTTTATCTTGGTGCTTGCTGCATTTGGGTGTTGGAGATACAGAGTGAAACAAAATGGTGAGACTCCAAAAAAAAGATTAAAAGCTCACTCTCTATGTTTCTCGTTTGTTGTGTATTCATTATTGATCTTATTGGCCTTTTAGCTAACAGATCTTTCATGCTTGAAGCTCCATCAATTTTGAGCTCTGGCCTGATCCTAAAATGCTAGAAAATTATGTACTAACACATGGATGGATCCATTTAACTCGTAGGTGAAGCTCGTGTAGCCATGGATATTTCAGAAGATTCTTGGAAGAATGGTTTGAAATCACATGATGTCTCAGGTTCAAATTTCTTTGAGATGCATACCATACAGGCAGCGACCGATAATTTCAGCGTGTCAAATAAACTCGGTCAAGGTGGATTTGGAACAGTTTATAAGGTAAAAGATAATATATGAAGTTCTCTCTGTTTTGCTCTTTTCTGTCATTGTCTTTCTTGTTCTCTTTATGACTCTCTCTGCAACTCTTTCTGCTTACAGGGAAAGCTAGAAGATGGGAAAGAAATAGCTATAAAACGTCTTTCTAACAGCTCTGGAGAGGGCACAGAGGAATTCATGAACGAATTAAAACTCATCTCAAAACTACAACACAGAAACTTGGTTCGGCTTTTAGGATATTGTATTGAAGGAGAAGAGAAGCTATTGATTTATGAGTTTATGGTGAACAAAAGCCTTGACACTTTTCTCTTCGGTCAGTCCTTACTTTGCATATCTACCTCTGCTTTTGCCAATTTCCTTCTATGGCTAACATGCTGATCAGTTTCATTTCTGTGATAATCTCTAGATTTGAAGAAGAAGCTGGAGATTGATTGGCCTAAGAGATTCAATATCATTCAAGGTATTGCTCGTGGACTTCTCTATCTCCATCGCGACTCATTCCTCAGAGTTGTACATCGCGATCTAAAGGCCAGCAACATTCTCTTGGACGAGAAGATGAATCCCAAAATATCAGATTTTGGGTTGGCTAGGATGTTTCAAGGAACTCAAAATCAAGACAACACTGGCAGAGTATTTGGAACTTTGTAAGAACCACTCCTCTTCTTCTCCCTATTGTCACATGCTGGAATCAAAGTCTCACATTCTATAAAATCACCTTCGAACAGGGGATACATGTCTCCTGAATATGCGTGGACAGGGACATACTCTGAGAAATCTGACATTTATAGCTTTGGGGTTTTGATGCTGGAAATCATCAGCGGGAAAGAGATATCGAGCTTTAGCCATGGCAAAGAGGAAAAAAACCTTGTTGCATATGTAAGAAGAGAACCACACGTAAAGAGTCTAGAGTTTGATTCCAATCAAAATGAATTCTTATATTTTTTGAATCATTGTAACAGGCATGGGAATCATGGAGCGAAACCGGAGGAGTGGATCTACTGGATCAAGACATTGATGATTCAGATTCAGTTGAAGCAGTGATGAGATGTGTTCAGATAGGTTTGCTCTGTGTTCAACACCAAGCAATGGACAGACCAAACATCAAACAAGTTGTGTCAATGCTGACGTCAACAATGGATCTTCCAAAGCCAAAACAACCTGTTTTTGTTTCGGATACGAGTGACGAGGATTCTGTGTCTCTTATGTCTATTGATCACAAGGATATGTGCTCTGATGATGAAAACAAACAAGAATCTCCATGAATCAAAACCAATTCCAGATACTGTTCAAATGTATTTGGCTTCAAACGAAATTAAAATAATACTATTGACGAATAATGGATATGGTATAGTTACAATTATGTGTGTATATTTGTTGAGATTTTCGATTGAATTATTCATAAAAATAAGAAATAAGTTTCGAAATTTACTTTTTTCCTTAATGGAAAGAAACTGACTTGAAGTTTTCCCATTTTTTTTATTGCTTAGAGTCGGTTGCTCAGCTCGTGTGTGTATATATCTTAAAAGCCTCAGTCGTCTGTTGATCAATTGGACAATGTTGAAAAGACATCGGTCCAGTGTTGTGGAATTGCTACCAGACGATGTTGTAGAGCTTATCCTTGAGAGACTTCCTGTGGAGTCTCTGCGGAGGTTCATGTCTGTATCCAACAAGTGGAAATCAACTATTGCGTCCCGGTGTTTCCAGGAACGACAGTTGATCCGTCGTATGCAATCCCGAGGTCCTGATGTTCTTTTGGTGTACCTCACCTGTTTTGGGGATGATGGTCTGAATACAGATGCTCGAAGAATTGTGCAGTTCGGGTCGTCCATAGTTCGTACGGTCAGGTTCCCCGCTTCGGGCAGCATGATCTGCCATGGTAGTTGTGACGGTCTACTATGCATCTACTGTTTTGAAGTACCGAGTGTCGTGGTGAATCCCGCCACTGGATGGAGTCAAAGGTTTCCTCTTTCCAACATTCAACAGCTCCTCATTGACAAGTATAACAAAGGAACTGTTGGCTTCTCATATCCTGAGCTTGGATTCGGTAAAGACAAATTCACGGGCACATACAAACCGGTTTGGTTATATAACTCATCCAAGTTTGGCCTCGACAACGTTACCACTTGTGAAGTTTTCGATTTTAGCACTAACGCTTGGAGGTACGTTCTCCCAGCTTCTCCTTATCGGATTCTTGCTTACCACACTCCCGTGTATTTAGATGGTTCACTTTATTGGTTTACCGATTGTGAAGAAACCAAGTTATTATCTTTTGATCTTCACAAGGAAACTTTTCAAGTCATCTCTAAGGTTCCCTTTTCCCATCTACGTGACCCTTGCAACGTCACCATGTGCATCCTTGATAACCGCTTGTGCGTTTCTGAGATAAACTGGCCCGCCCAAGTCATATGGTCATTCGATTCTTCAGGAGGCCACAAGACTTGGAAGAAAATGTGTTCAATAGATCTCACCAAAACATTTTCTTGGTTTGGCGAACCCAAGTTTCCGTTGTCGCCAATAGCAATTCTGGAGGAAAGTAAGTTATTGCTTCAAAGTCGTGATTACTTTGATCCACTGGTGATTCATGATCTCCATACCAAATCTTATGATTTACTCTTCAAATCTACCAAACCCATAGGTTCTGTTTATTATTTCCAAAGTTTATTCTCTGCTCTGTCAAATTAATTCTTCTCTCTTTCTTTTTACACCTTTACCATTGTAATTTAACATTTTTTAGATTTCCCTTAATGTATAAAGATTTTTTTTTTTTACTTCAATTTATATAAATTTACTGTATTTATGTTGAGAAAAATAATATAAATTATTCAGCAAGATTATGGACTCCAAGTCCAAATGAAAATCAAAGCCCAAGAAAGAAAAGACAAAGAAGAGTATAAAAGACGACGCAATAATAGGGGCCTGCAAAGTGGTGCAAGTAAACTTAACTTGGTCTGAGTTTCCGATGATTTTCTCTGTCTCTCTCCTCCGCCTTTAAGAACCGCATCGTTTCCTGAGGATTGGTAAAAAGCCCTGAGGAGGAAGGATTTGATGCGATTATTTCACGAGGTACTCACTGTTATTATTATTGTTATCTTTTGTCGTTGTGATTTAATTTGACAAAATCTGTAGTATTTAGTTTAAGATTTTTGGTTTTGATTATTTTTCTAATATAAGAATTAAATCACAATGATAGCTAGCTAGACTCGGATGCTCAGCCCGTGTTTATTATATAAGATCTAAAGCCTCAGTCGTCTGTTGATCAAATAGAGCCAAGACAATGTTGAAGAGACATCGCTCCCGTGAAAAGCAAACAAAGAAAAGACATTGCTTGAGTCTGGAATTCTTACCACACGATCTTGTAGAGCTCATCCTCCAGAGACTTCCTGTGAAACCTCTGCTGAGATTCAAGTCTGTATCCAAGAACTGGAAATCGACAATCGAGTCCCAACGGTTCCAAGAACGAAACTTGATCTGTAGTAGGCAAGCTCTAGGTCCAGATGTTCTTTTGGTGTCCCTCTGTGAAAAAGGTGATGCTGGTCGGAGCGGACATGCACGAACAGTTATGTTCAGTTTAGCAACAGCTTCTAAGGTCAGGTTCCCTTTTTCGGGTAGCATGTTCTGCTATGGTCATTGTGACGGTCTAGTATGTTTCTACTGTGTCTATGCACCGAGTTTCGTGATGAATCCCGCCACTAAATGGCATCGAAGTTTTCCTCTTTCCGGCTATCAGCAGTTGGTCATCGAGAGGTACAACAGGTTATATTTTAAATTCATAAGTTTTAAGCTTGGACTCGGTAGGGACAAATTCAGGGGCACATACAAGGCGGTTTGGTTATATAGTTCATCCGAGTACGGACTAGACAACGTTACCACTTGTGAGCTTTTCGATTTTAGTACCAACGCTTGGAGGTACGTTTTCCCTGCTTCTCCTTATCGGATAAGTGCTTATAATAGACCCGTGTATTTAGATGGATCTCTTTATTGGCTCACCGAGTGCAAAGAAACCAAGGTTTTATCTTTCGATGTTCACACCGAAACTTTTCAAGTCCTATGTAAAGCTCCCTTAGCCCATCTATCAAACCCTTGCAACCAAACCATTTGCATCCTCAACGACCGCTTGTGCGTATCTTTGAAAAACTGGCCCATGCAAGTAATATGGTCGTTCGATTCTTCGGGTGGCAGCAATACATGGAAGAAAATGTGTTCGATAGATCTCACCAAAACTTCTCCTTGGTTTGGGAAACCGGAATTCCCGCTATTACCAATCGCTGTAAGGGAGAAGAAATGGTTATTGCTTCAGGGTCGTGATTCTTTGGATCCAGTGGTGATATATAATCTCCATAGAAAATCTTATAGATTATTCTACAAACCTAGAGAATCCGTCGGTCCTGTTTATTACTTGCAAAGTTTATTCTCTGCTTTATGAAACTAATTTGTCTTTCTTTTCTTTACATCAATGAACCATTGTACTTCAAAACAATTTTTTTTTCTCTTTGGCTTTTTTTTGCTGTTTTCAGCTTTCTTGGCTTTTTTGCTATTGATGGTTCATTGGAGTAAATAGAACACTTTTAAGTACAATGTTGCCAAGGAAGAATCAAAAGGTTTAAGTAAAGAGTACAACAATAACAGAGAATTAAAGAAGAATCATACGCATAATTTCGCCATGGGATATTGAATTATATAAACACCAATATATCTAGGCTACTACACTTTTTCCTTTACGAAATTAGAAATTACAAATCTTTTTTTCTTCCTTAAAACTCTCATAAAAAAACAATGATAAATCAAACATGCTTAGTTCCAGCTTGGTTACTGCTCTTACCCATCTCAAGCGCATTCCCATACTCACCATCCTCCACAAACCTTGACCAATACCAATGTGACCTCCACACTTGACCCATCTCCTCTATCGGAATCCCCTTGGTCTCCGGCAAGAATATGTATACAAAGATCGACATCACCACCACAAAGAAGGCGAACACGAGGA